CCACTACCACTACCACCACTACCACCACCACCACTACCACCACCACTACCACCACTACCACCACTACCACCACCATTACCACCACTACCACCACCATCACCACCACTACCACCACCACTACCACCACTACCACCACCACTACCACCACTACCACCACCACTACCACCACTACCACCACCACTACCACCACTACCACCACCACTACCACCACCACCACTACCACCACCACCACTACCACCACCATCACGACCACTGCCACCACCACTACCACCACCATCACGACTACTACCACTACCACCACTACCACCACCGCTACCACCACCACTACCACCACCATCACCACCACTACCACCACCACTACCACCACCACTACCACCACCACCACCACAACTACCACCACTACCACTACCACCACCACTACCACCACCACCACTACCACCACTACCACCACCACTACCACCACCACTACCACCACTACCACCACCACTACCACCACTACCACCACCACGACTACCACCACTACCACCACCACTACCACCACTATCACCACTACTACCACCACCACCACTACCACCATCACGACCACCACCACTACCACCACCACTACCACCACCATCACTACCACCACCACTACCACCACCACTACCACCACTACCACTACCACCACTACCACTACCACCATCACGACCACTACCACCACTACCACCACCACTACCACCACCAACACCACTACCAGCACCACCACTACCAACACCACTACCAGCACCACCACCAACACCACTACCAGCACCATCACTACCACCACCACTACCACCACCACTACCAGCACCACCACTACCAACACCACTACCAGCACCACCACCAACAACACCACTACCAGCACCACCACCAACAACACCACTACCAGCACCACCACCAACAACACCAATACCACCACCACCATTACCGCCACCACCACTACCGCCACCACCTCGACCACCACTACCACCACCATGTGTGTATAATAGGCGCTCGCTAACCAGCGCCGTTGTGGGCCGCCGACAGGGCTACAAACAGCGGGGGGTGGGGGAGGGGTGGGGGAGGGGGGGTGTCTTTGTGCGTCCACAGGCGCCATGCCACGAGGCCAGTGCCACTACGGATCGCTCTGCCCCCCCACGCGCGCCTCCCCCTCCCCTCCACCCCTCTCCCTTCCTCACTCCCCCTCCCCTCCACCCCTCTCCCTTCCTCACCTCCCCCTCCCCTCCACCCCTCTCCCTTCCTCACCTCCCCCTCCCCTCCACCCCTCTTCCTTCCTCACCTCCCCCTCCCCTCCACCCCTCTTCCTTCCTCACCTCCCCCTCCCCTCCCGAGGGAGGGCCGGCGGGAGGGTTCAAAGCCCGACAAGTGCTCTAAGGCGCGCCGATCTTCCCTTTGCTATAATAAAGAAATAGCAACTGATAGCACAGCATCGCTGTCCTACAGCACTCGCTCGCCGTCCTACAGCACAGCATCGCTGCCCTATAGCACAGCATCGCTGTCCTATAGCACAGCATCGCCGTCCTATAGCACTCACTCGCCGTCCTACAGCACAGCATCGCCGTCCTATAGCACTCACTCGCCGTCCTACAGCACTCACTCGCTGTCCTACAGCACAGCATCGCCGTCCTACAGCACTCACTCGCCGTCCTACAGCACTCACTCGCCGTCCTACAGCACTCACTCGCTGTCCTACAGCACTCACTCGCCGCCCTACAGCACAGCATCGCTGTCCTATAGCACTCACTCGCCGTCCTACAGCACTCACTCGCTGTCCTACAGCACAGCATCGCCGTCCTACAGCACTCACTCGCCGTCCTACAGCACTCACTCGCCGTCCTACAGCACTCACTCGCCGTCCTACAGCACTCACTCGCTGTCCTACAGCACTCGCTCGCCGTCCTACAGCACAGCATCGCCGTCCTACAGCACAGCATCGCTGTCCTATAGCACTCACTCGCCGTCCTACAGCACAGCATCGCCGTCCTACAGCACAGCATCGCCGTCCTACAGCACAGCATCGCCGTCGCACAGAGACAGAGACGGGGGGGGGGGCGACTCAGCGTCGCCAGGAGGCACCGCAGACGAACAGGAAGGCAGTAGCGGCAGCGGCCACGCGGTGAGATGCCCAAGCTCTGTGATCCCCTGTATACCAAGGTCTTATCGGTCAATTTTAACTGCACTGACTATACATTTACTATAGTTTTTTTATTTTACCAGGTAAGGCCCACTGAGCTATGTAGCCCTCTTTTTTAGCAGCGACCTGGCCACAAATGATAGTTCAACGAAGTGTCCTATCACGTGGGAATATATTACAGCAGACATACTCTACACGGGTGATGTCGAGTCTAAATGTGGAGGGGAAAACCGGAGCACGCTGAGAAAAATCCACGTGACTACGGGGAGAGAGAAAACACGCAAACTCCAAATACACAGCAGCAGCAGGCATCGTCAGGGTCGGAATCGAGCCCATGCCCTCCTGCATACCAGGCGAGGGAGTTAACATCCCACCACCATAGCACAAAGCGCTTGCCACAAATGAACCACAATACCTTGCGGAGCTCGTCAAGAAGCATACACCATCATCACGCGAACTCCGCTAAGTTAACCATCGAACAAAGACGGCCGTCACTGCATCGCGCGGCGCTTTCAGATGCGCTTCTGTTGCCGCCTGGGACGCTCCTCCTTCCCATATCAGGAAGCCGCCGGAGCTGTGATGCACCTTAACACATTTCTGTAGACCTGCCTTTTGTGTTTAGTTTAGTGTCCTTCCCCCGCACCTCCGGCTAGCACGGTTGGCTACGTACGGTGCGATAGAAGTTCAACGTCCATGGATATGTGCAGCACTGCGGGTGAGTGATCGCAGCGTGCAGGAGCGAGTGGCGTCGCGGCGTCAACAAAAGCCTGACACTGTTGACCATCGGACGCACTCTGGGCTCTGAGTCGCACGTGTGTGTGTCGGTGCGACGAATGGCACCGTCTGCCCTAAAGGAAGACGGCAACAAACACAACAACAAAAATCTGTAGATCAAAAAAGTATTTGTTTGTATGCGGACAGACGGATATATTAAGGAGACATTGTCCGCATATTTGTTTGTCCTCCAGGCAGTCTCGTCCCTTCACCTGATGAAGGCCGCTTGTATTGTGGCCGAAACGTCGTGATTTTTTGTTATGTTATTTTCACCTACATGACTTTACCCAATAGAACCAAAGAGTATGGATCCTAACAGTCACGAAAGCTTTAAATCTAGAATTGATGTTGAGGTGTTTATCACTCTGCAATGCTGCCTCGCAGTAGGACCCCGGAACGTGATAAGACGCGTTCCTTGGCTATCGGCGTTGATCCGATAAGCGAAGCTTGCTACTCTGCTGATGAGACACCGAGTGTCGAAACCGGCCCAGCGTTTTATGTTTTTGCGTTGCCCGCGTGCCTTGAAATCAACGCCGATGAAAGTTCGCGCTCCCAAAAGGCCGTGCGGATTACGGACTCCCACAATGCCGTGCGGCTGGCGGGTTGTGTCAGCAGGCATACCGTATTCTGGTTCTAGATTTGTTTTTTTCGGTAAAGTCACGTAGGTAAAATATTTTGCTGTGACTGTTCCACCTGCAGACGGAAGCTTGTGTTGCCTCCGAAACGTCGTGATTTAATTTAGTTTTCATTTATTTTATTTTACCTACGTGACTTTACCGAAAAAAAACAAAGAGTATGAATTCTTGTTGTTAAGAACCTCCACAACGGCGTTAAGGATTCTTATTCTTATTATTCTTATTGAGCTACAAGATAAGAGTCGCGATCTGGGGCGGGGGAGGAACCGGGGGTAGGTGGTCGATTTCATTCTCGCGATTTTAAATTCGCGTTCATTGCAGCCTCTCGCGACTGTCACACGAGACGCGTCTCCATACGGAGGGGGGGGGGGGGTCGAGGGGGGTGTCCGCCGCCCCCATCACCCCCCACGACACCTCCGCGCTAACGCATCCAATGTCACATCACCTCTTGCCAATTTGTGTAAATACTAGCGATCATTAATACTCTGCACGCGACTCCTACTCGTTGGAGCGGGGAACGTCCGGCCGGAGAGAATTTATTTACGAATTGGCCCCCTCCGAGAAGAAGCCGCCTCCCCCTCCTCTAATTTTGGACGATCCCTGGAGTCGGCCGCGATACCCGGCACACAAATGTCAACGAAAGCGAACCTCAGAGGAGACAACCCAGGGGTCAATGGAGCCCGCAGCAGATATTCTCACCTGTCGTACTGCACGTGTGTGTATGTTGAACTTCTTTCGCACCGTACGTAGCCAACGGCGCTAGTCGGGGCAACAAACTGGAAGCAAATAAAACTTTTATTGAAAAAGAAATGAGTTTGCAATGTAGAATACGTTTCACACCTGTGCGCAGGTGTGTGCGTCTGTGTTATTAGACTGTTTACGCGCGTGTGTGCTTCTGTGCGCGTGTGTGTGTGTATAGCGGTAGTGTAGCGATTAGCGCTATGCTGCGCTACGAACCTGGCGACCCGGGTTCGATTCCCGCTCACGGCTAACACCAGCAGTGACGATTATCTGACCCGGTCATGGGCCTCCCCTAGATCGCCTCGGCCTCAAATGAGTACCTGGTGCGATGTGTAAACATCGCCACTAGGGAGACAAAGGCGACCGGACATGGTGTTGGCCACCCACCCCCTCGTGTGCCGTGCCGGCCTTCATAGGTGCTCGCTAACAGCACTCGCCCCGACAGTCGGTTAAAGCTACACGGGGGATCTTTGTCAATATCTCTTTGCGCTCGCGTGTGTGTGCGCGTGTCTACTCGCGTATGTGACTTCCTGATGTGTGCAAGTACTCACCTGTGCATGCACGACCGTGCACAGGTGTGCGTTTGTGTGCCTGTGTCATAAGACGATCTTCGTGTGTGAGTGTGAGTGACATACACAGTGAGAGAATCGCTCCATTTACAACCGCGGGTCATGCAATCACTCTTGTTTCTATTGCAGGGCGCATTGGAGACAACACCCCCTCCCAATCAACTTCTCACCGCAGCGATCTCGAGATCGTCCCAACGACAGAGAGAGACATATCGACACACACACTCACTCGCACACAGACGGGGTGGGGGGCTGGCCGCGGTGGGGGGAGGCGTCTCATGTCGCACGTCTCATGTCGCACGTCTCATGTCGCACGTCTCATGTCGCACGTCTCATGTCGCACGTCTCATGTCGCACGTCTCATGTCGCACGTCTCATCTCGCACGTCTCATGTCGCACGTCTCATGTCGCACGTCTCATGTCGCACGTCTCATGTCGCACGTCTCATGTCGCACGTCTCATGTCGCACGTCTCATGTCGCACGTCTCATGTCGCACGTCTCATGTCGCACGTCTCATGTCGCACGTCTCATGTCGCACGTCTCATGTCGCACGCTTGACTTCATTCACGCGTGAAGCGTCCGCAGCCGCGCTCCGCCACCCTCCTTCAATGGGGTAGGAGAATTCATCATCACCATCATCACCCTCCTCGTCGTCGCCGTGGCCATCGCCGCGATGGAGGTGGCGATGGTGAGCGTGCAGGACGCCGGCGGAGGACTCGGCCCCTATGGGCACCGGGGCGGCGGCGGCGGCGGCGGCGGAGGAGGTCCCGGGGGGTCGCGAGGATTCGGCGGCTGCCGCGCCCCGCACGGCCACGCGGTGCTGACGCCGCACGCGCTCGACGTCCTGCTGCTGGACGCGGCTGCGTGCGAGCCCTACTACCAGCACTACAACAACCACCACCACCACCACCACAACAATCTGCAGCAGCAACAACCGCAGCAGCAGCCGCAACAGCAGCACAACAACCATCACAACCACCATCACCAGCAGCATCGCGGCAGCAGCAGCGGCGGCAGCAGCAGCAGCTTCAGCGCCGGCGGCGGCGTCGACTCGGGCGGGTTCCCGGAGGCGGGCGAGCGGCTCACCATCAACGTGTCGGGGCTGCGCTTCGAGACGCACGCGCGCACCCTGGCGCGCTTCCCGCGCACGCTGCTGGGCGACCCGCGCAAGCGAGCGCCCTACTTCGACGCGCTGCGCAACGAGTTCTTCTTCGACCGCAACCGCCAGAGCTTCGACTCCATCCTGCACTACTACCAGTCACGCGGGCGCCTGCGCAGGCCCGCGGGCGTGCCCGTGGACGTGTTCGCCGAAGAGCTGCGCTTCTACGAGCTGGGCGACGAGGCGATGGCGCGCTACCGCGAGGACGAGGGTTGCGCGCCCGAGGAGGCCGAGCGAGTCCTGCCGCGCGCGCCCCTGGCCCGCCAGCTGTGGCTCCTCTTCGAGTACCCCGAGAGCTCGGCGCCCGCGCGCGCCATCGCCATCGTGTCGGTGGCGGTCATCGTCCTCTCCATCATCGTCTTCTGCCTCGAGACGCTGCCGCAGTTCCGAGACGAGAGGCGCGACGCCGCCGCCGCATACAACAACAATAACAACAATAACAACGACAACAACAACAACAACCAGCAGCAGCAGCACGTGAAGTCGGCCGACGTCGTGAGCAGCAACTCGCCGCCTCCAGGGTCCCCCGTGCACCCGCGCGTGTCGCCCTCGTCGCCCTCGTCGCCCTCCTCGCCGCTGCCTCCGGGCGTCGTGGCGGCGGCGGTGGCTCCGCTGAGCGCCTTCACGGACCCCTTCTTCGTGGTGGAGACGGTGTGCGTCGTCTGGTTCACCCTGGAGCTCGTCGTGCGCTTCCTCGTGTGTCCCAGTAAGTCGGCCTTCTTCAAGGACGTCATGAACGTCATAGACATCGTGTCCATCCTGCCGTACTTCATCACGCTCGGCACGGAGCTCGCCGACCAGAGCGCGCATGGTGGTAGCGATGGTAGCGGTGGCGGTGGTGGTGGTGATGGTAGCGGTGGCGGTGGAACCGCGCTCCCCTCCCCGTCGTCTTCTTCCTCGCCGGGCGGCCAGCACGCCATGTCGCTCGCCATCCTCAGGGTCATCCGCCTCGTGCGAGTCTTCAGGATCTTCAAGCTGTCGCGCCACTCCAAGGGTCTGCAGATCCTGGGCCAGACTCTGCGCGCCTCCATGCGCGAGCTGGGCCTGCTCATCTTCTTCCTCCTCATCGGCGTCATCCTCTTCTCGAGCGCCGTCTTCTTCGCCGAGGCGGACAGCGACGAGTCGCACTTCACGAGCATCCCCGACGCCTTCTGGTGGGCCGTGGTCACCATGACCACGGTGGGTTACGGCGACATGAGGCCCGTCACAATCGGCGGGAAGATCGTGGGCTCGCTGTGCGCCATCGCGGGCGTGCTCACCATCGCGCTGCCCGTGCCCGTGATCGTCTCCAACTTTAACTACTTCTACCACCGCGAGACGGACAATGACGACTCGGCGGTCAAAGTCCAGGGCGGCGGTGGTGGCGGTGGTGGCGCCGGTAGCGGTGGCGGCTCCTCTGGTGCCGTAGGGCCGCGTTCGTCGCAGGGGAGTGGAACGCCGAGGAAGCGCCGCCCCAGCAGCGCCCAGGGCCTCGACGCCGAGACGGACTCGAGCACGGAGTCGGGAGATCCAAACTCCTCGGGACTCGCCACTGACGACGACGACGACGACGTCGACGGTTCGGGCCACCGCGCTCGGACGCGACTCACCGTGAGCGTTGGGCGCTTTTCCGACGGCGGCCAGAGGAACAATAACTGCGCACTCCTGGTGGACGGCATGGAGACGAAAGTGTGAGGGTCTCGTGCGGCGATGGACGAGGGACGGGGGGGGGGTGGAGGGGAATGGGGGGGGGGGAGGGGGGTTTTTTTGTTGTTGTTTTAGTTTTGTATTTAAAATAAATTAGGAATAGTGTCGAGGCTGATGGTGGGACACGGCGGGGGTTTTTCTGGGCGAAACTCTCCGAGGGATAAGAGGTGAAGGGTCTCCGACTATTGGAAGGTGAACAGTGATTTGAAGATGCTGCTGCTGCTGCTGCGTTGGGAGTGGGGCCACGACCACGATTAACAACAACAACAACAACCTCAACACACGCGTCGACAGCCTTGGTTACATACAATATATAATCGGCGACGTTTCAGGCAATGCACCTTCTTCATGGCACGTGAAAGGGCCATTGCTATGAATAAGAGCCAGTACCCAAGACTTCGCCGATAAAATATATACTGTCTATACATAGATATTACTTTGAAGACCAAAATGTTGTTGACGAGTGTGTTGAAGTGTCTGACCGTTAGTAGGAACATGTCTTCATCATCATTACATTTAATATGATGAACGTTGTGAATGATCTTGTACACGTTTGACGAACGGACCGCGCAAGGCTCAGAGTTGTCCGTCCACTTCGCCTCCTCTTCGCGTGGATATGTGGAATATCGTGGATATGTGGAATATCGTGGATATGTGGAATATCGCCGCTACTCCGCCACAAGTCGCGTGGCTACAGCGCGTCTATCATTCGTATGAGAATTGGTTTACAGAATTATGCACGGGGTACGATGGGGGGGGGGGGGGGGGGGGGGGTGGAGTTGCGGGTGCGGTATTATTTCTGTAATGCACATCATATCACAATCAGAATATGTATCTATACTGGAGGAAGCCGATGAGCTATGAAGCTCTTTTTCGTAGGTGTCTAGTCAGGGGCACGGGGTGGGAACGTAACAACAACAGCAACAACAACAACAGCAGCAGCACAAAAACACAACAGGAGTGAAAAGTTCAAGAGAGGTAAACAAATCATCCAAAAATAAACAAATACAACAACTAAACCATCCCAATCCTACCCGCAAAGCCCACTGAGGTATTCACTTGTTTTTCAGAAGCGACCTGGCCACAAATAATAGCTCAACAAAGTGGCCCTCATCACATTCTTTGGTTCTTTCGGTAAAGTCACGTAGACAAAAACAAATTAAAGTAAATAAAATAAAAACTGATCGTTCGTGTTATGATGGAAGCGTCGTAGTTTTTAATTTCATTTACTTGAAATGTGTTTCTATCTCCGTGATTTTACCGACAGAACCAAAGAATTTGGATTCCTGCAGTCACTAAAGTTTTAAGTCAAAATTTAAAGTGGCTTATTATCGCCATCATCATCAAATAAATTATCGAGGCGTTGCAGAGTTCGGCCCCCCAAGTGATTAACCCCCTAGTGGTGCGATCCCTTCAGCGCTCTCACGAGGCTTTGTCGGTGACTCTCAGAGCTCGCTGTGCGCTTGGCGTAGCCCTCGACATGAGTCGACTCCGACTGGCCGTTCCATCGGAAGCTGTGTAGCTATTCACGTGTTAAAACATTACACATTCAACACATTCGTCGGTATCACTGCCTTCAAATAAAAACAATATATAATCAATAACAAGCACATATGCACCATGTAGAAGGGCCATTGTCCGAAACGTCCTTTATTTTTATTTTTTTTCTTCATAAGACTACACACACACGCAGTATCATTTACGGATGTGCCGATTATGATTGTGGTTTGTTGACTGTACTTGTGCATCACTGCCAGTGAGGCAGCTGCATCACCCAAATACTATTTTGTATTCAGAGACGAATAGGATCATCAGCTCAAGTCAAAAGATTCTACTCACAGCAACTCTGCAGTATTGTTGCTGTTATCATTATGGATCGGCAGGTTGTTATGTCATTACAAGTCCCACTTGTGTCCACGATATATCGGGCAAGGTGATTATGGTAAGCACGTGTTCAGGAGATGGCAAGATCAACTATTTTTTTTTTAAACGAAGCTATATTTGTTTTACCAAGCAAGGCCCACTGAGCGATGTAGCTCTTTTGGAGAAGCAACCTGGTATATGACAGCTTAATTAAGAGGCTCATCAGGTGCCAATTTAAATCAGCCAAATACTATGAACGCGCGGTGTTGGTTCTAAACGTGGAGGGAAAGCCCGGAGGACGCGGAGGAAAATCCACGCGATCACGGGGAGAGAGAGAGAGAGAGAGAGACGCAAACTCCAAATATACAGACCGAATCCACGACCTCCTTCTTACCAAGGCGTGGGAGGTAACATCTCCTAGCCACCGTGCTGCCTCTAGATGATCAGTCAGGCCTGCCATGGCAGCAGCATCGCGAATCAACAACAACAACAAAACGTGGAGTAGCAACACAGTCACAACGCATCCCGTCCAAGCACGCTGATCCCCGTGGGGTATTTAATTGGCTGACGTTGTTTTGCTCCCGAGAATTCACCGTGGCAGAAGGAGTCGGAAGCTCGAAGGCGAATGTCAGCGCAAGGACGCATTTTGGTTCTCCCTTCCACCAGTAAGATGACTGCCAAAAAAGCTGCCCCAGGCGCAGTTGCTCAATGTTCTCTAAGAAGGAAGTCAGCTCGAAACGTCTCTGGATAATTATTCATGGTCTTCAACTGGAGTAGCATTTCTGCTTAGGTACGACTCTGCACAGCTTGTAATGTCATCACGATCATCATCAGCAGCATCATCATAAGCAGCATCAGTATCCGCATAAGCATCATCAGCAGCATCAGTATCAGCAGCATCATCAGCATCGTCAGCATCATCAATATCATTATCAGTATCGTCATCAGCATCATCATCAGCTGCTCCGACCCTTCCCGCCCTTTATATCGAATGCTGGATGCAGACCTCCCCGCAATGACGGGGAAGACGCCTGGCGGCTGTCACCGGCACCGTGCATCTCGATCTCGCTTCTGGCTCTACGCCGATCGCTGTTAGCTGGCGTGCTTACTGCGAGTCGCGTAACCCGCGACTCCACCCGGTACTCTTTACCCAGAAGCGCGTGCATTGTTGAGTCTGCGTGCACAAACGCGCACACACACAATGCGCTCCCAAGCGCAGCTGTCAACCTGCATGTCGTAGTGATGCGTTCTTCAAAAGACAAAGATTCCCCGTATAGCCTTCGATAGGCTGTTGGGGCAAGTGCTCGCTGTTCGTGAGCATCGATGAAGGCCGTCACGGCGCACGAGGCGCCTGGTGCCCAGCACCACGCCTGCTGATAGCAACAACATCATCAACAAAATACAAAGATTTGGCAATGCGCAACTCACGACGCTAACGATTTATGGAGTGGAATTGTCTCCACTTGTTAAAGAAAAAAAGGCATCTGGCGTCTTTCCCAGCCTCGTCTTCTGATGAGCATTCATAAATCGCGACTTACTTGTAAAAGGCTTCCTATTTAAAACCGATTCAAAAATTAAATCCACACACAGCAGGGCACATTCTGCTTTATTCGCTGCGGGTTTTCGGTCACGTTTTATTTTTGTATCGCAATTGGCCCTTGCAAGTTGGCACAATTCACAGGGGACCTCGAAAATAAACACAAAGCACGTTCATGAAGAGCCCAAAACAAGACACATGGAGACTTGACTTGGGCCCGCTGACTAAACCGTGTGAGCGGGGAGCGGTGGCGCAGCGGTTAGGTAACTTTCGCTATGAATCCGGACACCCGAGTTTGATTCCCGCTCACGGCCAACACCGGTGACGATAATCTGAACCGGTCCAGTGACTCTCCTAGGTCGACTCAGCCTCAAATGAGTACCTGTTTCGGTGTGTAAACAGCGCTGGCCACCCACCCCCTCGCGTGCCGTTCCCGGCATGTATAGGAGCTACTCGCGAACAGCACAGGCTATGTACGGGGGACCTTCCTCTTGTTGTGAGTGTGCGCAGCCACTTGATAAGAACTTTTGATTGGAGTCAACGAGGTCCAATTCGTCGCGCGCTTAAGCTGTCGTGAACAATACGCGTGCGCGCATCGCGCAGCAAACCACTGCGCTCCTTCCACGCAGGGATGAAGCCTACGACCTGAGCTTGACTCCTGCCCACGGGTGAAGTTCAGTGGCGAGTGTTCCAAGTAACCCCCCCCCCCCTCCACTGTTCACCAACCCGCAGCTACTCTTGCCCGATATAGGGGAGGGGGAGTTTCATTTCTGAGCACTCCGTGCACGCATGCGAGGTTAGGATCACCGTGGCGCGGAATCAAACCCAGGCTCGGCCGAGTTCATGGCACCGTGCATTAAGCTGCGACTGCGCTCCCACTCCACTGGCTTGCTGGATACAACACGAGTCATCATCATTGTTATTATTACTCGTAACCCGATCAGGGAACACGTGTAATAGTACTACGACAGCCAGTTAGCTGCTCCGTGTACGACACAACGCATTACCGGCAAATGAACGCAGGTTGTGTACAAGGTCAATCTTTTTGTGTTTTTTTTTAATTTGAATGGAAGCTATGAAGCAATATTGACAAATGTATACATCACTGTCTTCCCGATGACGTGACGCGTCTGTACTGATGATGGTGGTTGATAATTTGCACGTTGTAAACAAAATCTAAAACAAAATCCAGAGGGATACTGCCACTGATCTCATGTTGAGCACTATGGAGTTCGGCATTCCGCCAGGTCGCTGGTTCGATCTCCAGCCGCGGCAGTCGTCACGATGGCAGGGAGAGAGGGGCGCCGCGTGGACGCGATGTTAACTACCTCGCCTGGTATGCAGGAGGGCTTGGGTTCGATCCTGACCCTGATGACGCCTCTGTAGTGGGAGTTTGCGTGTTCTCGCTGTGGTCGCGTGGATTTCCCTCCGGATCCTCCGGGTTTCCCCTCCACATTTATAACCGACACGCGTTTACAGTATTTGGCTGCTATAAATTTCCATGTGATAAGCCACTTCGTTGAGCTATCATTTGTGGTGGCCAGGTCGCTTCTCGAAAATAGCTTCACAGCTCAGCGGACCTTACCTGGTAAAATATAAATCGTTTTTATTCAAAGTTTAAAGTGTGGGGGTAAC